TATTATTTAACCCTCTATTGTTTGTTCATTTTTTACCTAAAAATGTTATAATATGTTTCTTAAATTTTTTATTTAATCGGAATTGTCATGAAGAGGCGAATAGACGAACCCAAAAGCAGACTGAATGCTCAACACAATTTATTCAAGACAAATCAGAAAACAAAACCCACGAGGGGGCAAAACAGAACTGAAAGGCAATATTCCAAGACTAAGACAATAAAGTAGACTACGACAGGATTCAGACTTAATGACTAAGAAAATAAACCAAACAGCTCCACAAAGCACAATTAATATCACAAATATTCAGACTACGTACTCACAGGATGCAACACACAACGTTTGACAATGAACCGACACAGGACAGCAAACACAAGAGGATTAAATAGGGAGAAACTAATGAGGGGAACAGGTGACACAGACTAGGTAATAATGACAGGACGAGGATAACAAGGGGGCGGGGTATTAAACGAGACCACACAAGCACATGGCCCAAACAACAGGCCATGTGCTTGTATACAAAACATGGTTCTGCCATGATCTTGCCACAAGAATAGAAAAATCAATGACATGATGGCAGAATCATGACAGGAATGGTACGAAACTCTGTAAAGGTTTTGGTTCTTGCTATGTGAACAACAACAAAAATAAACAATAATGGAGATGATTCATAAAGGTTTAATGGTCCTGAAAAAAAAAAGTCACACTTGAGTTACTCCTAATCATAAATGACCTCATTGGAAATGAATGGCAGATGAATTTCATCTAGTGGAAGCTTTTGGTACTGCTCATTTTTTTAAGATATCAAGCTCAAATTTGGAACAGAACTTGTTTCGATTTATGGCTTTGATTTTCTTGAGCTTTTAAAGTAAAACATGTTATTGAAAATATATATTTGATATAAAAATTTGTAAATAGTATTTTCGTGCATTTTTCATGACAATAAATGTAAAATTTTGTAAAGTTCACTTTTTGAACCTTTTTCCACTTCAGCAATCATCTGCCCAGTGTCGTCTTAAAAAGATACCAAACTTTAGTCTGTGCTCTAAAGTATTTCAAGATTTAAAAGCAATGTCCTTTTCAGGTCTATGCTCACAAAGTGAATACATTGATTATTATAACTACACCATAATTATAATTTAGTACTATACAATCGCTTAAAAGTACAAAATATTAAATAAAAAACATTATTGAACTAAAACATAGCACATTCAATTAAAAAAAAATAATATTTGGTATTTTTTTGATAGTTTATTTTGTTAATTTTCTTATTTCTTAAAACCATTCACATACAAATACGAAAAAGCACTAAATTAGAGAACATAAACCATGAGAACATGCCGTTTGAGGATGTAGGAAAAGGTTTAAGATATTAGCTGCAACGCTGGCATGGTTCAAGCGAGGGAAAGAGGAAGTCATTTTTTTTTCCAGTGGTATTCACTTGCTTATGTAAGAGTTTACAAGCATTTCAGCTAAACCTAAAAGAGATCACCACATATCTTTTTTTTATTTCACTTCAAATCAGCCAAATTTATGGCAGGATTGATGGAAGGATTAACTTCACAATTATGGAGAACTGTTTTTGTAACGTATCTGAAGAGATAATAGCTCAAATTATTGTTTTAACCAGTCTAGGTTGACTTTGGCAGACCATTATGAATATCAGAACAGGACTGAAACACAGAGTCATGGTCATTTTCCGTTTGCAGAGCAGTCTATACTATATACGTGTTTGGCACAAAGCCAGGCAGAGAGGAGGGGAAAAGGAGAAGCAGAGGGTGAGAGAGAGAGACCTTCCTTTACAAAAAAAGAGTTTGAGTGTTTATTTGTAAGTGTGCATGTGCCAGAATGTGACTGTGCATGAGAGAGAGAGAGGTAATGAAGCGTGGGTAGAGGGCTGGCATTGTGCCTGCTGGTTGAGTCACTTATTTCTTGGTGTGGGCAGGGCTTGTCACAAAGTTCACAGGGTGAATAGGAAACTGCATGTACTGCCTGACAGAAAATAACTTAGATTTGAATTCAACGTACAGTCATTGTTTTCCTCATTAACCCTTTAAGCCCTAAAGGCATTTTTAGAGTGACGTACACAAAAGTAAAGACTCATAACTCCAAAACTATTGCAAGCAGAGTCCAAATGTAGGTATCACTTCAAAGAAAACCTTTTACATTTTTAGGAAAAAACAAATAAATAATACATTACATTTGGGCATTCTCATGCTGGGAAACTGCTGATAAAAGACAACAACAAAAAAAGTTTGCTCCTTAGAGCAAAACGTTTGACATGCAAAAAACCCAGGAAGGAAATAGGATATAGGAGGACAACCTGCATCTGGATCAAAATTTGTGAAGATAGCATAAAGTAATCAAAAGTTACAGCATTTGGAACCAAGGTAGCGTTTTTGTTAATCTCAATAGGGAGCATCCACTGTAATGATTTTTTGTAATGCCATTTTCTATGATCTGTGCATGTTTCATGAAATTAGAAACGTAAACGCCACCTAAAAGCTACATATGATTTTACATAGCTAAATATGTGCCTGTCTGAGTTTTATGTGTTAACTCCATGAGAGTAAATCTTCAGATCTAAAGGACAGATTATGGTGAGTTTGGGCTCTTTTTAATTGTAATCTGCAGTAAATAATGATGTGCCACTTTCCACAATCGGAGCATGTTTCATGAAGTTATGAGCGAAAACGATATATGCTGCATGATATGCTGCATCCGCATATTATTTACATATGAGTCTAGGGTGGCTTCACGTACTCGTTCAAGTTTAGTCAAAGCCCAAAACATTTATGCTCGTATTCTACTCCATGATAGCTTTCAAATGAAATATGACACATGACTATCTGAGCTGTATGATGTTTTCGACATATTACACACATAGTATAAAAAAGTATTCAATAGATTATGAAAACTATATTTTTACAAATAACTCAGCACAACCTAGGAGTTCATCAAATGGGCTAAATGCATCGTAAAGTGTAGACTCTAAGCTTTTAAATGACACCTATATTGTGCTGATCAAGGCATCCATCCATCCATCCATCTTCTTCCGCTCATCCGGGGCCGGGTCACGGGGGCAGCAGTCTAAGCAGAGATGCCCAGACTTCCCTCTCCCTAGACACTTCCTCCAGCTCTTCTGGGGGGATACCGAGGCGTTCCCAGGCCAGCCGGGAGACATAGTCTTTCCAGCGTGTCCTAGGTCTTCCCCAGGGCCTCCGCCCAGTGGGACGTGCCCGGAACACCTCCCCAGGAAGGCGTCCAGGAGGCATCCGGAACAGATGCCCGAGCC